AGCTCAATCATTTGGCTACGTTATTGTTCACCAATAGGAGCGGAACTATTTGGTAAGAGCCCTAGTGCAGCTTCACCACACTGAAAGTTTCCGTCCAGGTTGCAGGCTAGATCCGGCTTGGGATCCATGGCTTCACCCTTGAGCGCCATGGTTCTTCCACATGCGGCCTATGGTAGAAGCCCTCCTTCTCTTCTTCCCATTAGCAAAGTTGTCGAGTCAAACAAGAGACAGGTGCTGAATCAAAATGTTCATGGAGAGCTGGGGTCAGTCAGATCAAGGGACATCTTTTCGCCTTTACTTTCACTTCTTTTGATTTTCATATCGCCCAGTTCTACATTCTCACAATGTCAAGGAACAGCAGTCGCGATAGCATGATGTTTATGTATCGACGATATTGAGGAATTGGTATTGGGCTCTGGTAACGCTAGAATAAAAACAGCTGGTTCCGCGCACTGTACCGGGGACTCTTCCAAGCAGCTTCGGAAGACACTCACCATTCAGAGGAACAGTCAAAGACTTTGCGTTTAGACTTTGGGACCCTCCCCCCTCCCTATTTAGGGCGTGGTTTGCAAGGACAGAAGGCGACTTTTACCGTTTTTTGTGGTGCAAATTTTTTCCCTGCGAGAGCCCGAGCTTCATTCTACCAGAGGTGGCATGGCGTCCTGCAGAAAAGTTTCGCTCTCGGAAAGCGGAAAAGCTGCCTTCTGTCCTAGCGAACCACATCACTATTCATATGGTCACTAGATGCCTTACAAATTTGTGACAAGTCGCAGGTAATGATTGATGAGCTGTTCAGTGTATTAGTGAAACCCTTACAAACACGCTGATTCACCTGTGTATTCCAAATGGCTCCACTCTGACTTTGACTATCCGGTGTCAGCCGAATTTGTTCATTCATGACGACTGAGTTGCCTTGGATGTTCCAAAATGGGATTTCCATTCCAGCACCTATATACTCCTTTGCATACATTTATGTATAAAAAGCGGTCGTTGGAAGCAGCTATGAAGAAATGAATTCATATGCGACAAAGTAAAAACAATACCTTGGTATGGCCGAATGAGTGAATGTTGCCTTTTATAGAAACCGCGAAATTCATGCACAGACGTCCCTTCTATGCTTTTTGCCGAGCTTTCACCATCTGCAGAACTTGATGAAAATCCGATCGCAACGGCAAAAACGACCAGTTTTGTCCACCACATCGGGGCACTGAATAACATCGATTTTCACGAGACACGCTTTCTATTGTATCCGTTAGAGCGTATACCCTCTGCTTTCAACAAACCAGATGTGCGTCGAGTGCAGACACACACCACAAGCAACGACGGCCCCAAGTAAACCTTGTAATAATGATTCATAGTGATAGCTGATAGTTGGTAAATGATAGTTGTAATTAGTGACAACTGATAGAATACAACTGCAACACTTCTTCATTTCTTCATTGGCAGAAACATTTACATTTTGTGGAGGCCGTCGTCACTTGTGGTGTGTGGTCTGCACCCGACGAACTTCTGATTTTCGGAAACAGAGTAAATTTTTCTTCTAAGAGAAGAAGACTTTAATGA